ATAATGGAGAGGAACTCCGTGATGAGCCCTTTGTAAAATTTGAAAAAGGACCTTCTCCTATTTCATACTTCCAGTATCTGGCTGGGTACAGAGTCAGCATCTCCTGAGCCCAGTCATGCTAGGACTTGTCCTCAAGCCTCCCTTTCCTCACCTCTTCTGGCTCTCTTCACTCTGTCCCATGCCAGGAAGGGTGCTTAGTTCTGCTTTAAAGACACCACGCTGGGTACTGCTAGGTAGGGTTCTTCCTCTGCCTCCCTAAAAATGCTCAAGGGCTTGTGGGTTTTCCGTTTTCTGTCTGGAGTGGTAAAAACACGGGGCTACTCTCACAAGGGAAGAGGCACTGCCAACTTTCATTTTGTATTTGACGCCCACGTGAAGGCCTCCTTTTGGGAGAAGCTTGGCCATCTTGTTTTTGGCTTTCTTCCTTCCTTTTCCAATGCGGCAAGTTGGGGCCTGGGGCTGTCCTGGCCTGACATTTGAAGGGAATTTTATATATACACTTATTTATTTTGCCATAAATCCTATACCTTCTCTCCTTATGGTGCTGGCAGGCATGGTCTTCATTCCATTGAAATGGTATGATCCGAAACTGTGTAGGCCTGGGATGGCCTTTGGCCTGTTTGGTTCTGGACTATCCAAGTCTAGTCGGTGTAGGCAAAGTGGTCATTGTCAGCCTGCTAACTTGGCTCCATGTTGGGTTTGGGGCTGTAAAGTGCTTAGCAGGCATTGCTTTCATTCTCAACAGAGGGGCACTGAGGCGTGGCAAGTCTGGAATCGGTTCTGTTGAACCACAGGAAATTTTTCCTGCTCAAATATGTATTTTTCCAGTCAGAATGGCTTGCAAGCCAAAGCTCACTGTCCAACTCCAGCCCAACCCCCAGCCCAGGGATGTCTGGGGGACCTGTCACAGCCCAATAGGTGAATGAGTCTGTCCACTTGGACCCCAGGGCTTGCTTTAAAGTCAGCTGATTTACCTCTTAGTCACTTCTAGAGTTGGGCTGAGTATCTCTCTGCGACCCTTAACTGTTTCTAAGTCACAACTATCATCTGTCTTGTGAAGTTCAGCTGACCCTTGAACAACGGAGGGGACCGGGGTGCCAACGCCCCACAAAGTCAAAAATCCACACAGACCTTTGGACTCCCCCCATACTTAACTACTAATAGCCTACTGTTGACTGGAAATCTTACTGATAACATAAACAGTCAACACATATTTTGTATGTTATATGTATTATATTCTCTATTCTTGCAATATAGTAAGCTAGAAAAAAGAAAATTGTTATTAAGAAAATCATAAGAAAAATACAGTGTTGGGGCACCTGGGTGGCACAGTTGGTTGAGCGTCTGACTCTTGGTTTCGGCTCAGGTCGTGATCTCAGAGTCGTGAGATCCAGCCCTGCACCGGGCTCTGTGCTCAGTGCGGAGTCCGCTTGTAATTCTCTCTCCTTCTCCCTCAGCACGCCCCCCCACTCTGTTTCTCTATAATAAATAAATCTTTTAAAAAAATTATTAAAAAATACAGTGCTGTATGTATTGAAGAAGATGTGTATTAGGTGGACTTGTGCACTTTAAACCTGGCTTGTCCAAGGGTCAACTGCAATCTGATTTTGATATGGGCATCTCCAAGCTGCCTACAGACTTACAAAAAGAGCCCTTCCAGCTCCACAGGTCTTCCAGTCATACATTTTTGAAGCCTCTACTATGCCTGCTCTGGTCAGGGCCATTCTAGCCTACACTAGGCCTTTTTCATTGGTGTGCTGGAAACCAAGTCTGGTGGGGCGGGTGGAGGGGGCGGTAATCCCTGATTTGTAGTATTCACTGATTTCTGTGTTGTCAATACTCCAACTGGGGGCGCCTGGGTGGCTCAGTCATTAAGCATCTGCCTTCGGCCGGGGTCATGATCCCAGGGTCCTGGGATCGAGCCCCGCATCGGGATTCCTGCTCCACGGGAAGCCTGCTTCTCCCTCTCCCACTCCCCCTGCTTGTGTTCCCTCTCTTGCTGTGTCTCTCTCTGTCAAATAAATAAATAAAAAGTCTTTTTAAAAAAATACTCCAGTCGTTGCCAATTAAAAGCTACCAACTGGATGTCACTCAACGCAGAGTTGAGAAGAGCTGCACACAGTTGGCTTTCCTCTGGGGAGCCAGCCATAAGCCAGCTGCAGCACAGCACTGTTTTGCATTTTTAAAAAGGCACCCTCTGGGTGGAAGAATTAAGAAAGGTACTCCCTTAGGGCAAATTTTAAAAAGGTACCTTGCTGGGCAGACCTGCACCACAGGTGTCTTGGTGAGGAGATACCTGGCAGGTGCCCTTTCCTCTGCACATGGCCTGTTGCAGGGAATGTGAGGTAGATTTTAGGCCCATTCACCTCCTCAACTGAGTGCCTTTGTGCAGTGCACAATTGGCAGAAACTTACATGGCAGTCTTGGCTCTGATTCATGACTACTCTATAGTTAAGTAAAATGGATGGAATAAGGGAAAAGAGAACCAAGTTACCTAGCAGCCTGAAAACCTGCTTTATGCAGATTATAGGATTATTACCAGTTAGAACACTAATTGTTCTTAAAATTAGCTTAATTAACAAGGCTATTATTGCTAAAAATGGCTTCCAACTATACCATTCCGGGGATAGACATAATGATAAACCTAAAAAGACTTCAGAAATGTGATACCTACAACCCTACATGTTTAAATTCCAGCTCATTAAATAAATATGTTTATCTTCAGTGATTTAAATCCTAACAATAGTCAAACCGAGGCATATGTAACTATTTTAAATTTAATGTAGTTCTTTAGTAATTAAGAAGCAGTTGCTCATAACTCCTATTTAGCCTGCCAATTACTCTGTGAAAGTTATCCTCCCCCTTTTTTATAGAGGAGGAAACAGGCTAAGAGGTGACTCAGAAAATGGATCCAAGACCAGTTCTTCTGCCTTGATCTCACTCTTTTTACTACTCTGTGCTAACACAGACATATTTCAGTATTGTGAAACAGACCATTTGAGATGTCTCTGGTGAAGATATTTTATTTTTCATAAAAATATAATTGTACAATGCTCTTCAGAGAAAGAAAAATTCCCTCAATGCCCCCCAATACCACATGGATTAATAATCTTCCTCTCTTTTAAAACTAAATATGTAATTGATAATATGCAACTGATTTCTTGTGAAATATAGTATTTATGTTTTTAACTTTCTTTGCCTTTATTTTAACTAAAGCTAAGTCCAGTTTAAACCTATGCTTTTTGTAATAAGCCAAATCAAGTCTATCATAATTCAAAGATGATGAAATAAAATGCTAAATGGTGATGCTGATAAATACCGTCAATTAGCTGGTACACAGTGCTATGAATTCGCTGCAGTAAGACAGATTCTGATTTAGATACAACAGACAAGTTTTAGATGAAATAGGAAAAAAATTTTAAGAATGTCAACTATATCCTAAAACTTGACCTGGTCAAACTTATTCCATATTATATTCAGTTGTTCTAATATATGGCAGGTCTATGCTAAGTTAATGACAGAATATGACTGGTCTAAATACACAAATATATATTTTCCCCTTACCTTCCTTTCTTTGGGGGGAGAAAAAGAGAAAAAGAAAACATTACTTTCTTTACTCAGGGAGCAAAGAGAACAGCACGGGATCCAGAGGGACAGAGCTCAATGATTCTATCACCCTCTTCTGTTCTCTCTCAGCCCGGATGTTGTCATTACAGTAAGTGAGAGATGCTAGGATTTCAGTATGCTGCTTCTTAACTGGAATGGGAAAAGAAATGCTCCAGCTGTTTCAATCAGTGACATTTATTAACATGCTTCAAGTGGCCAAAGCGTGCAGCCAGCACAATACCCAAAGCAATCAAAACATTCCTTTTTAAGACCGAGGAACTTTCTCTTGGTATGATCTACTTTAAAATACCAAAAGGATCAGTTTAGGAATAAACTCAGTAAGTTGTAATTTACTTTCATCCAAAATTACACATCCTCTACCTGAGGACAAAGTCACTGCTCTTGTAAAGATACTGGGGCTGGGGGTGGAGGGTTGCTCAAATGACCCTGTAATTTAAAGTTACAACCAGAGAAGAAATACTTCAAGCACAATGGAGACATTCCATTGAAGAGCCACATTCATTTTGGAATGTTTGCTTTGAAAACAACTCTTCTGGGGAATTCAAAAGGTACTGAACAAAGCAACACAGAGTAAATCTTGGGTTGTTTTGCAAAATAAAAATATACATTTGAGTAGACCAGATGGCAAAAACATACCCATTATAATCTCAACACTATATTTAAAACACTTATATTCTGAAGGTCAGTATATTAACAATCTTTAATCTATCTATATTTGTGATCCTAAAAAGACATTAAATACTCTTAAATCCCCAGTCCTCCAAAACACAGAGAGACCCAACAGGCGGGGCTAGTGGTCTATCAGTAGTCACACAGGACTAGACTAGATCTGAGTTTGCAACCTACACACAAGAGATCTTCAGGAACTCAGGCTAAAGGGAAGCACTTTAAACGTGTGGCCTAAGAGAAGGGGGGAGAGTACCTTGTAATCTGAAACTGTGTGGTCCATCTCTTGTTCCATCTCACAATCTAGACTATGCCTCCTCTTAAACTGCCATTTCATAACAAAACATACTGTTTAGAAGCCAAAAATTTGCTTCATTAGAGCTAAGAACAATTATAATTTAGCAGCAACAGAGAACACAACTCCTGATTTAAGGAGAGAGAGAAGAGAGAGAAGAGAGAGTGATAAAGTGTCTCAGTGGGGAAAGTGAGAGATTCCTAGTCGGTTTGCATGTAGAATACGATGAGCTTGATTCCTCAACCATCACTGTGTTTGGTAGTCAGGAAAAGTAAATGTAGCTGTGATGGGAACTGGAAACCCTGGCCTTGTGCACCTCCTGTCCGGCCTGCCAGCCGCCGAGCTGTGCACAACGCCAGCTCAGTGCTTCGCTCCAGAGGGGAGGCACCATCAGGGCTGAACCAGAGGCACACCCACAGTATGTTTCTTCCTGGCTCAGAACACATTCATACGGAAACTCATGTCAGGGAAGAAACTAAGTGTTCTGGTTATGCCTACAGCCATTAGATCTACTAGCAATTTCTCCCTCGTTTTGTTCCAGATCTCTTGAGGCAGAAACTCGATCTCAGCAGCTAATTTCATCCTATTTTCTTTAGAAAAATTCTCCAAGTTAGTTGACTACACAAGGCAATGTGTGTGAACATTCACTCCTACCCTCCCCACAAACATACACAGACATATGATAGAAACACATACATACATACGAACATACAAACATACACACTCTAGGTTGTCAAGATGATGTATACTGCAGAAATGCCTAAAAGGTTACTTGTTGCTTAAAAATAAAATTTGACTAATTATTTTCCAAGTATGGACTAGGCCCTAGCAAACTTTTATAAATATAGTTTGAGAAGACAGCAACAAAAGTTTTAAATAGAGGCTGTCTTGAGGGCTTTCCTAATGGATTTTGTTAACACGTACATTAGTTAAAACAGGCATATCATTATGGATTATAAAAATAGAAATGTATATATTTGTTAATACATATTCACAGCTTATGCTGGAATGGCTCACAGGAGAAATCATGGTTCGTGCAGAAAATAAACATTACTCAAGTAAATATAAACAAGTAAAATTAGGTCCATTAAGGCTGAGAACTTCGTTATCAGCCCATTTGGTTTCTCTTTGTAGGGCAATCAAAAACATAAAAGAAGGTGACACCTAAACACACATACACATACAATGACATGAAATACATGGAAAGAATATAAATTAACCAATAAAGCAATGTGGAGTTAAGGTGCAAAAATACAATCTTCACCCACTTCTCTCTACTCCTGTGTTTTCAAGCACTGCAACATGTTCGATGCCATGGGTGGCAAGGCCAACCAGAACAGATCTGAATGTTTATAAATTTTCTAAGTGTTGAAAGTTAAAGCAAAATCCTGTGGGATTTTGGTAGAAATTGCAGATTTACAGAGATGACTACTGAGCAGTAGGTTGTAAATGGAGCCAAGAAGTACAATGTTGCCCTTTCATCCTCCATAGGAATCAGAATATTGACTTCAATCAGTGACTCGTCATTTTATATAATCTTCACCCTGAAAAATAAATCAGTTACCAGTGTAAGAATGCTTGTAAGTCAATGAAGCTTGGTTAATGTTTTAAAATGCATTTTGTTGTTTAGTATCTACAGAGAAAGGCTTTTTTAAAATACAGACTGAAAGAAAACTGAGCTGATTTGGCTTTTTTTCATTAATTCAATTTAGATTAAGGCAAATGTTACCTCATCTAAGAAAAGCTATCAAAAAGCAAACCCTTCGGGGCGCCTGGGTGGCTCAGTCATTAAGTGTCTGCCTTCGGCTCAGGTCATGATCCCAGGGTCCTGGGATCAAGCCCTGCATCTGCTCCATGGGAAGCCTGCTTCTCCCTCTCCCACTCCCCCTGCTTGTGTTCCCTCTCTCACTGTGTCTCTCTCTGTCAGATAAATAAATAAAATCTTAAAAAAAAAAAAGCAAACCCTTCAATTTTATAAAAATATTTTAAAAGAGGGGCATCTGGGTGGCTCAGTTGGTTGGGTGGCTGGCTCTTGGTTTGGCTCAGGTCATGATCTCAGGGTTGTGAGATTGAGCCCCACATCAGGCTCTGCACTGAGTGCAGAATCTTCTTGTCCCTCTCCCTCCCCCTCTGCCCCTCCCCCCACTCTCTCAAAAAAATACAATCTTTAAAAAAATTTTTAAAGATAAACAGTTTATAACATTTTCTTTTAATTGTTACAAGTGCTCCCAAAGCAGTCACGATGATGAAGAAACCAATCCATGACATCTTCATTACAAAATCTTTCCAGTCTCTTCAACAGATGGTGCTGGAACTACTGGATATTCACATGCAAAAGAATTAAAATGGACCTCTATCTCACACCATATAGAAAATTAACTCAAAATAGATCAATGACCTAAAATATAAGAGCTAAAACCAAAAACTCTTAGAGGAAAACACAGGGGTAAGTCTTCATGACCTTGGATTTGGCAACAGATTGTTACATATGACAAAACATGAACAACAAAAGAAAAAATACACTGGACTTCATAAAAATGTCAATGTTTTGTGCACCAAAGGACACTATCAAGAATGTGAAAAGACAACCTACACAATGGGAGAAATATCTGCAAATCATGTTATCTGATAGAGGTCTAGAACTCAGAATATATAAAGAACTCTTACAACTCAACAACAAAATGAAAACTCAATTAAAACATGGGCAAGGGACTTAAGACATTTCTTCAAAGAAGATATACAAATGGCCAACAAGCACAAGAAGAGATGCTCAACACCACTAGTCTTCAGAGAAATGCAAATCAAAACCATAATCCGGGGCGCCTGGGTGGCTCAGTCATTAAGCATCTGCCTTCAGCTTGGGTTCTGATCCCAGAGTCCTGGGATCGAGCCCCACATCAGGCTCCCTGCTCCATGGGGAGCCTGCTTCTCCCTCTCCCACTCCCCCTGCTTGTGTTCCCTCTCTCGCTGTGTCTCTCTCTGTCAAATAAATAAATAAAATCTTAAAAAAAAAAACAAAAAACAACACAATCAGATACTACTTCACATCTTAGGAAGGCTACAGTTTTTAAAAATGGAAAATAAAAAGCATTGGCAAGATGTAGAGAAATGGAAAGCTTCATATGTTACTGGTGGGAATGTAGAAGATTTCAGCCACTGTGGAAAACAGTTAGTGGTTCCTCTAAAAGTTAAATATGGAATTACCAAATGACCCAGCATTTCTCCTTCTAGGTGTATACCCCAAAGAATTGAAAACAAGTACTCAAACACACACTTGTATGCTCATGTTTCAAAGCATACTGTTCACAATAGCTAAAAGGGAGAAACAAATGTCAATAGATGAATGGATAAACCAATTGTGGTATACATACACAATGGAATATTATACAGCCATAAAATGGAAAGACGTATATGCTACAATGTGGATGAACCTTGAAAACATTATGCTAGGTGATAGAAGCCAGACACAGAAAGTCACATGGTGTATGTTTCCATTTATATGAAATACCCAGATTTCGTATGGGTATTAGGTAAATCCATAGAGACAGAAAGCAAATTCATAGTTGCCAAGGGTGGGAGGGGGGAATAAGAGCAAGTAACTGTTTAATGAATTCAGGATTTTCTTTGGGGGTGATAAAATGTTTTGTCACTTCATAGAAGTGGTGGTTGTACAACACTGTGAATGTACTAAAGGCCTCTGAATTATTACTTTTAAATGGTTAATTTTTTGTTATGTGAATTTCACCATAATAAAAAAAAAAAATCCTACAGTGATGGGCTACTACACTAGATAGAGCCTGGACTAGGTGAAGACAGGTTTTCCCATAAGAGCTGGGTGACCTTGGGCACCTTATCCAACTCCTCTGCTATTTCTTCATCTATAAAATAAAAGGTGTAATTCCTTAACACAATCATTGGAGGAAATACTTAAGATAAATATAAGTGAAAGTGTTTTGTAAGCTGTGAATCAAAATACAAATAAAAGGCATATTACTAACAATAACTGGAATGATTTTTTGGGCTAAGTCTACTTTAAAAAAATTTCCATACATTTATCAATTATTCTTCATAGATCCCATGTAAAATTCATTTCAATATTTAGAGTGTAACACTATTTCACTTGCTTTATTACAAATAAAATCAACATTTTATTTAATGACATACCATGGAAACCCTACCTTAAGATGCTCCTCTAAATATAAACTCTCCCACTCATTGTACTCACAGGAATTGCTGTTAGCATCTGTCTTCCCAGCTTTCGTGTGCCTGCTTGAGTTCTGCTGAGATTTGCTCTGCTCTTCTCCAGTGAGTAGGGCCTTGATTTCAGAAGGGATTTTTCCTTGGTCCATTGCCATGCACCACTGCTTGTACTGAAATATGTAAAATATTTTTAAGTAAAATTTTACTAGTCAGAGTTCAGGAACCAGTGGTAGAAATCCTAGACATAATAACTCCCATAACTAGAGGTCAGATTGGCTGCTGGGAATCCTACCCTCCACTGCATTTCCTATTTACCACGTAGCACATGTATGAGGCTTGCCATCTTTCAGAAGAAGGTAGGCAATGGCTGAAGGATCTTCTTGTGCTAATACTGGAGATAATAATACTTCAGACTCAGAAGGACCCTCTGGTGAAAAGAACATCTCCCCACAGTGTGCCACTAATTAGAATCCTCTTTTTGCTGGCACATTATCATTTCTACTCCTAAAATAATAATTCTGTAACTTCCGTTCTCTTTCATAAACATTCACTGAACATCTACTTTCTATCAGAATGTGTACTATGGACTTTGAGGGTATACAAAGATTAGTCAGTTCAAAGGTTATGCCCTCAAATGGCTTATGCTGTAGAACGTGAGAAATAATTTACAGCTTAAGTAAAAAATATATATATATATATAAAACTGAATTGTATATATCTGGACTCTCTTCAGGCCCCAACCTTATTTCTTGCCTTTTAAAATGCTGAGGTAGTAGCCTGTCCCAGTTTTGTAATAATCATGGTAGCATTCTCTCTCTTCTCCAACCTGTCACCTCCTCCCTTGAGGTCATAGTAATGAGATTTCTATTCTCTTTTACATTTCTACAGCCACCACCCAAGGTCTTAATGAATGAATGAAACATGCTGAATAAAGAGATATGTTTAAATACAAATGATATACTATACATATTGTTACATATTGCTTTATTGCTTTCTCCACTTAGCAATATAATGTCTTGTAATATCTTTCTACACCAGTAAATATATATTTGCATTGTGATTTTTACTGGCTGCAAAGTAGTCCAATATATGAATGTAGTATAATTTACTTAACCAATCTCCTATTGTTGTACATTTGGGTTATTTTTCATTTTTTTCTTTGATAAACAGTCCCTCAGTGAAATAGTCATGTACATTCTGCTTCCACCAGCACTGTGCCTACATCCTGGCTAAGAGATTAATATTCTTTCCCGTATTTGTCAAATGGATACGTGAAAATCGGTATCTTCATATTTTAATGTAGATTTCTTTGACTGCTAAGCTTAGGTTGATTTTTTCATGTGTTTATTGGTAGACTTTCTTACCATTTCCAGTTCCTCTCTGAGGGCACATATGGCTCTTTCCCGACTGGATACCAACTCTTCCAAATACTGATATCTTAGTTTTTTCCTAGCTCGGCATTCTCTTGCACTCTGCCGGCTCCTCTCAAGTTTTGCCTTCAAGTCAATTTTGGCTGGCTTCCGACCACGTTTGCCAGGTTTCTTTACTTTGCCTCCAACCACCTGCAGCAAGAGAGAAAAGAGACTATTTTTTTTCTCTCAGTTCTGTTTCTAGGAAAGTGACTATGGCGGCATATTAGTAAGGAAAACATTTACAAATAATAAATAAGTGAAACCTATGAAACTAAGAAAGCATAATCCCATGAAATGCCTTATGAGTCTTTGCCTTCTGATTTTTTTCCTGATACTTTTGATACCATGAGTGTGAGAGAAGAAATACTGTAAGTTTTCATTATTTCTTCAATAATAAACTTTAAGTAGTTTAACAGTAAACTTTATGAACCATATGTAGCTGGATACTAAAATCTAAAAGACTGCCAATAAATATTTTGTTCACAAGGAATTTTTATTGACTTGAGAAAAAAGTAAAAAAAAAAATCAATATTTAAAATTCTAAGTTCAGTGCGATTTCAACATTATAAAATAACACCCAGAAGAAAGGATATTTGTTAAAACATCAATAAGGATTTCTCTGACAGGTTGTCATTATAAATAGCTTTTTTCTCATCTGTACTTTCTATGATTTTTAAATGTTTACAATTAGAAAGAAACATAAAATCTGTATAAAATTGTATGTATGTATATCCAAATATATATACTATATATATATTTGTAAGATTTTTTATTTTTATTTATCTATTTATTTGAGGGAGAGGGAGAGTAAGAGGGAGAAGCAGACTCCCCACATCAAGTCCCGATGTGGGACTTGATTCCAGGACACTGAGATCATGACCTGAGCCGAAGGCAGACGCTTAACCGACTAAGCCTCCCAAGCACCCTATATTATATATATACTTATAAATATGTATCCTAAGCAGTTTGGCTATGAAGTCCCTCTTCAAATTTGTTGAGTCCAAAGGAACACACAGGAAGTGTCCCTGACATCTTCAGGATCATTCTCTCCTGCCTTTACAAGCCTATAATTATAACCCTAGACTGTCTCAGGAGATTTCTACCTCCTCCCACTGGTCATACGACATCTTTTCAATGTCTGTTATTCATTTACCTGCAATGGCACAATTTTTTGGTGACTGACAAAGTAATTTAATCTTCTTCATTGTTTAGCGTTGGAACCTCCCCAAGTTCTTATACAACATGTAACTATCAGCTAAATGTGATGAAGTTTTAAATACATCAACCTGAACTTGTACATCAAATAAATTTTCTTGAAAGCAATTACCTTGAAAGGGGTTACATTTATTCCAATGAACAAGTTTTTTGGGAAAGTGCTTTTAGAGCTAGTTTCTTACAAGCTACAACACAGTCTGCCTCAGATTATCTACTTTATCTGACGAGGTTCTGAATGATGTCTAGTTCTTTCTGAAAATTACCCTCAGGGAATAAAAATGTCACGACTCCAGTATTCTGAAAGGAATATTGCTGAGGCTTTAAAGGCAATTGTTAAAGAGAAGATGCAAAACTCAAACACTGACAAATCACTGGAATAAAGTAGCAACTTTACCAGGTAATGAAACTCAAACTCAATATTCATGTGGATATAAAAACTCTCATTTGTTTGTTTGAAAACCACTATTAACATCACACACCAACAATGCCCAGTACCCTATAAAGATCAGATCATTACTAAGTATAATGGTTAGGTGGAAAACCAAACTGTAAATATGAATCAGCCACATTTACCAGACCCTGGGTGATAACATGATGGTCAACCACTGCATCGTGCATTTTATAGGGTGGCTCTGAAATAAGAGTGAATACTCCAAGGCTCTGGGTAAAAACTTTCCTTTCCAGCACTATTTTAAAGCTAGCTGGGGGCGCCTGGGTGGCTCAGTCGTTAAGCGTCTGCCTTCGGCTCAGGTCATGATCCCGGGGTCCTGGGATCGAGCCCCGCATCG